ACCTTCAATATTCATCTTTCCTTTATAGTTTAAATGACAGTCGTATTTTTCATCTTCTATAGTGCATATGAAATATTGAGCTCCAAACTGTTTTTGTGCCCGGGAATGCAATTTCTGCATTTGAGTGTCTTTCTTACTGTCATCAATAACATTATAAATTTGTCTAAATTCAGCAAGTAAAAACAAGGTTGAAAACTATGTTTTATACCACTAGCTGCAGGGGGCATAAAATTACGGTAATTTGTGGCTTTGCTATTGTCAGTCATGTACAGGAGTTTTTTCAGCAGAAATTTATCATGTGCCCAGAACTGAACGTACTGTAAAGCTACAATATGTTTTTTTTTTTTTTTAAATGCAAAAGCCATGAGAAATTCCCAACGAAGTAAGCAAAGCTAAATATTCATTCACCTTTCCTTTGCTACTTTTAGAAGGGAAAAATGTGAGGTGTGCATGTCCAAGCATTTTTGCAGTGCTGAGCTCTGCTGTGACCAGGAAGGATGCCTTTTGGACTGCATCAGGACTGATCCTGTCCCAGCTTTCAGCTCACAGAATCATAGAATCGTATAAGTTGAAAGGGACCTTTAAAAGCCATCCAGTCCAACTGCACTGCAATGAATAGGGGCACCTCCGGTTATATCAGAGAATTAGAAGATTAGGGTGTTTGTTGGTAAGCAGCCAACAAGTTAATATGTGGTTCTTTTAGGGTACTTCTTAGCACCATGATTTGTGTCACAAGCAGGAAGATGTGCCATGTCAGGAATGAGCTGCTGAAAGAGGCTGCAATGCCATACCACAGCTCCTGTGTTTTCTTCCTCTGACTTTCTCAGTGAAACATGATTTCTGTCACAGTTCCTGCAGGTTCTTTCTAAACTCTTCTCCAGTCCTGAGTAAAAGAAAGCAAGCTAAGATAGCGTCTTGAGGAACTATGGCATTAACTGGTGCCTTGTGTTATCACTGCCAGGCACTGCGATGTCATTGAAGATGATGTGTTCTGTACATTTTGCTTTGGACTGTTTGTGAATGTTCGTTGATTTGTTTGCTTTGCCTTTGCTTGAAAATCCAGTACTGCAGTAGTCACGGACTGTCTTGTGGGCTTATTTGCTTATGTACAAATTCTTTTTGAGGCACCATTTGTTTCTTCGCTGTGTGAATTCTGGCCAGGCTTTCAACATTTAACTCACTTGTTAAGTGCGAAAAATGTACGTGAGGCAAAAATGGTACTGAGATATGCTTAGTAAGGTTAGCAAAATATGAATGAGTCTGATTAGGTGTTTGAAAAGAAGAAAAATGTGTTGTTAAGGGAGGTGCTGGTTGTGGAGCAGTGATGGGAAGATGGAGGGGGGAGTCTTTTTGTGCTGCAGTGTCTCAACACTGGAAGCATTAAAGAATCAAGTTGTGACACGAAGGCACGATAATTCCAACTAAATTTGTAATTTGAAATAAATCCATAAATTAAATTTTATGACAATATAAATGCCAATAATTAGTTTTCTAATTAATTGCATGAATTGTGAGCTATCTATAGGCGTTCTGTGTGCAGATGGATGGGTGTGTAACTTGATCATGGGGGCATCTCTCTATGCATGTGAATACGAACGCAGGCACGTATATGCTTTTTTAGAGCTCATCAGTCCCTAAAAGGGTTAAGCGGTTTTAAAATTACCTCAGCCCACTGCTTAAACATTGTTGCCTTAATTAATAGCTGCTAACATATGAAGGGCTTGTCTTGGCTCTCACAGGGGAACAAAAAAAAAAAAAAAAAAAGCAGCATGTCACAGAGCTCCATGTACACTGCTTCTTATCTGCTGCCATCAAAATTAGTCAGTGCGGCTCAAACCTGCAAAGTTTATTATTTCTGGTACAAGTGGACATACCAACACCTGTAATTCTTACTGATTAATTCTTCTTGAGTAGCATGTTGCCTGTGATTTTTTTTTAAGGTGTTTTGTGATGATGGTGATTGTTGTCTATTTGCAAAAAAATGAATGGCTATTGGTACTCGTTACCAATTTAGCATTCCTGAATGCATTTTGCAATTAGGAAGTATGGGAAGAAAGTTTCAATATTTTATTAATTTAGCTTAACCAGGCTGAAAACTGATCCTTTTCGAATGAGTTAAAGCATTTTGGAGTACTGTCATTAGCCGTGATGCAAGATACAAAGCTGTTGTGTCCATAATGTTTCCCAGTGCTAATATTTTTTTTATCCCATTTGCCCACTGGAGAGAGACTTGTACAAACTTGGTGTGGACACAGGGGAAGAACATCCCACCTCCTGCTGTGACTGAAAGGTACTTAAAATATCTTAAGTCATGAAAACGTTCTTCTTATTTATTTATTTAAAGATAAAGCAATGCTTTTAGTACAGAAGCGTTGCAGCAACATGTGGTTTTGTTGTTGGCATATGGCTTTATTTCTGTGGCATCCATGTAACCAACACAGATTGTATTGTTAATAATTTTCTGAGTTTGATGTATTTTCCTTAGAAATCCTGTTCTTGCTTGTATCTGATGTTTCTATTCCTGGATTTGATGTGTATGCAGACTGAAGCCTGGTGGATGGTGCCTGGTGGATCATGCATTGGGCAATCCGACCAGCAGTTGGGCAAAGAGACTTGGAAGTTGCTGAGAGTCCAGTGCTGTTGCCTACAGCAGCAGGGGCTGTGGCTTGCAGCTGAGGAGACCTCCTCTAGGGCTATCCAGGAGACTGAAAGAGAGCAAGGATGGCCCTGGGGGAAGTCTTGGGGCTGCAGCACCATTGGTCAGTCAGGTAGTGCTCTACTTGAAAGTGAAATCTGCATGGCTTGGGATGTAGCAAACTGATGCTGGCAGGTGAGGAACGGGCAGAATTATGAGTTTTGTGTAGCGTCTTGCTTGTGGTCTTTGGTCTCTGTGTTGACAGTGTTGCAGGCTGGTTTAAGTTTGATTTTCCTGATCATGGACAGGAAGGAGGGCATGCTGAGCTTCTGCCAAAATACTGAAACAGTCCAGGGAAAAGGAATGGCTACTTTGGAATTTGGGAATCCAAAAGCTGTGCTGAAATTCAGTTAAGACATTTAGCCCTAGTTAGAACTCTCTTGCTAATAACTTGTTTTTGCAGCAGCTCTGCTGTTGAGGTGTGAAACCTTTTCCATACACAAGTAGCATGGAACAGGATGGGAATGTCAGAGGTCAAATTTTGCAGCACGCTGTGATCCTCACTGCAGAAGTGCGTAATTCCCTCTGATCTTGCAACACTCTCCAACTCCTGGGAGTGTGAGTGGGGCAGGTTGTGTGTCATCCACCCACTCTTCCCTTTGCTCTTCCCTGTACACAGCCCCACAGCATGCTATTGTTAGATATGAATGCTAATTGCTGGTATTTCAAGGCTCCTCTCTTCTTATTGCTAAAGCCTGTAACAATAATCACAGCCTATATTCCCCATCTCTAGGCATCAAGGAAACAAGATATGATCACAGGCAATGTGCTAATGTAATTGTAGTATATAGAATATGAGCATTTTCTATGTAAACACAGGCCTGGCCACATCCTATGATAGCTCTTCCTACACTCCGTAAGATGGCTGTTCTTAGGCTCACAACTCAAGTCCCCATTATGTATATATCTACCCTTGTCATAACACCACCTCTGAAACACTCACACCGCTTGGTCCTGCTGCATAATGTTAAGAGGGTGGAATTTTAAATTGAAAAAGGCTGTTTAAGTAGTGTCAGCAGCCTGACTAATTTCACAAAAGGAAGGAAATTCAAAGTTAAGGCTACGGTATATTCTTATCTAGATGCCTGCAGATTTCCATGCATGACAATATGCCCCTAAAATTCAGAGCTGTCCCTTATGTCTTTAATTTCTCCCATTGTGTCTCTCCTTTTTTTTTTATATTAAACATCAAAGTGACTTCACAACAGAGAGTCAGCCTAGAATTTAATCCTCTAAATACCTTGAAAATAGAGGTTTAGACTAGAAGTACCAATATATACCCTTAAAACTTCAGAGTAATATAAAAGAGATTCTAATCACAACAGATCATTACAAAGAAGAGTAAACCACTTTAAAAAATTGAATGTCTCAAATATAATAAAAAGGAATAATTAAGAATCAAACAGGAAGCTGCTACTCTGACAATTTAATGATGCTGAATTGGACTGAAAGAATTGGCTTTGCCATTAAAAGGAATGAAAATCTGATAATTTCAAAATGGCACTAGGGTAAGATCAAGCGTATTCTTCCAAATCAAATGCAGCAGAACCAGAAAGAAATGGTAGGCTTCACCTCAGAAAAACCTTGGAGTGCTTTGGATTCCTGCTGCTGCCTGGAGCTGAAGCTGTTATTCTATCAGACCTGCCTAACATCTTTAGACTGGGGGCTTCCTGTGAATTTATTACTGTGTTGAACCTGTGGAAAGCAATGTGGCAGCCCTTCTTGCTAAATGGAAATAATATAACATTGATGCTCTTCCGTTTTAATCTCAGTTTCTTCTTTTTTATTATTATTATTAAAAATGAATAGATTTACATAACAGCATCCAGGGCATTAAAGCCAATTGCACTACGTGCAACATATCAGTAAATGGAAGTAGAATAGATGTACTTTGCATTTCTGATGTGAATGAGCACAGAGATGTGCATCCAAATGTTTAAAATCAAGCAAGCTAATCTTATAAATTGCTCATAACATCTGTACTCGTAATTTGCACCTGCACTTAGCATGACTGTGTGTGAATTACAGCCATTTATTTATTATTTTTCTGAGTACTGTGCCTTATGGCTGAACTTAATAAGCTGCACAAGTGCAGCATTTCATAGATTGCATCATTAGATCTTCAATTACCAGTGAGCAGTTTTGCTACTTCCTACCTGAGAATCTTAGGAACCCAAACTGGCACATTGCTGATTTGCACTGCCAGGGAGAAAGGTATGATTAATAACAATAAGTTGATGGGTATTTATGCTGTAAAAACAGACCCAAGGAGGTAAGATAAAAATATATTATAAGAAATCATATATACAATGAGAAAGTATTTATTTTGAGCACCAACAGCATCTAACTGGAACACAAGGGTGAAATCTTAAAACACTCAAACAATTAGAAACAATACAGGCTAATTAATACTTGAGTTTTTCATCCTTGCATGTTCTCTTGAGGCTTCGCAGTGAAATCTTCACGTTGCTTTCCTCTGCACTGTTTGTATTAGTGCAGAGTGTTATACAAGCTGCAGAAAGTAGTCTTTCATGTGTGCTGATCTCACCTCTGTAGGATCACCATCCATTCAAATGCTGTGTGGCCTGGAACATCAGCTATTACAGTGTTAGGTTAGGCCCTTTTAAATAAGTAGCCCATTGCTTAGGATATTTCAAGTAGTAGTTAACTTACTTAGGCGTCACCTGAATGTCCAACAAATAAAATTAAATTTAAAAAAAAGTCAATTTTATTGCAATTTGTCTGATTAGAGAACAAGCTGGCTTCCAACTGCTGGTCTTCTGCTGCCATCCTGTGGCGAAGTGGACTCACTTCATGCAGCACTGCTCAGCCACTGCCTGCTCTCCCAGCACTTCAGCAGTGCCCACCAAAAATAAGCTTATGGGCTTCCCACGCTCTCTTGCAAGAGACGCTGTAACCTGCTGCCCCAGCTTCATGCTTTGCTGTTACCAGTCTTGGTTTGATTTCTGCTTGATGAACCTTAATGATAGATAGTATAGAAGCAGGAAACAGAAAATATTGCCACCAACGATGATGTAGGTTATGTAGAGAGGCTCTGAATCCAGACCCAGAGCCTTGGTTACCTGTAACCCAGAGAACAGAAAATTAGGAACTGACAACATTTTTTTCTAATGGATTAATTATTGAGATTTTTATTAGAGAGTGACTTACAAGTCTTCCTGGAATTTTAATTGTAACGTTCCCAAAAGTCATATCATATATGGAATCAGTGAACTGAATTTGCATCATGCCTTGGAAATTCCATCTGAGAAAAGATACCTTAGAAACCCAATATGGAACTGGAAAAAAAAAAAGGCAGGAAATATGTGTATAAATAAGCAGAACTGCAGTCTTGCTTCCATGCATAACTTCTTGACAACCCGAGACCGTAAATGTATGAGAGTTTATTATTGGACGAAATATATTATTTTGTGGAGATGTAAATTAGGAGAAAGCTAATATCTATATCCATCAAATTCCTGCTGTCTGCTAAGCCTCACTGGAGTTCAATCTTCGTTTACTAAATATAATTCACCCAAGAGACCAGGTAACACTCCAGATTTTCAATAATGCTTTTTTGGACCAAACTTATCATTATCTTGGTTCCAGATGGAGAAACTAATATAAAATGAACTCCACTCTCACTCTAAAGGTGGTATTTTCCTTCATGAGACTCAGCCACACAGTAACCAATTGCTGATACAAACCACCAGTGTTACAGTTCGGAGGGATATTGGGAGATTTGTTTTACCTGTCCAGAGCTGTTCCAGGCTTATCACAAAACCACCACTCAGGTAGAATGAAGTGAAAAGGACATTGCCAAAGAAAGCTGAGAGCTGTAACGTTGGCAGCAGCGCTGACACCCAAAGTGCCATTGCACGGGCACTATATACAGCCAGCCACACCGAGAAGAAGTTCAGCAAAAAATGTTCTGCTTCAGGAAACAGATTTGTCAGCCAGTAGATGGGAACCCCATAAATTATAACAAAAGCGCAGTGCTCAGGAAGCTCCCCCAAAATCTGTTCAGGAAGGGGAAAAAAAAAAAAAGAGAGAGAGAGAGAGAAATAAGTCACACAACAATCACAAAATGTTGAGATGTGCCTTAATGTATTTATGAACTGTTTAGAAAACTTCAGGCCCCCTTAGAATGCAATTGCTATTTTTTCCATCGTTGTGACGATTCCTGTAACTAATCGTTACGTCACTAGGCCTTTTGTTACAGATTAGATATCTTGTTTTGTTACAGTTTTTGCTGTTTCTAAGAACTGAGGAGACTTTCCCTAAGAACTAGTGTGCCTGCAAGCAGGAGTACTGTTACTGACTATTGTGAGTCTGTGTTTTGTCCAAGCTTGGTTGAAGATAGCGTGACATCAAATCTAAAGTAGGTTATTGATCCCTTCTTTGTCCTAGAGGTAGTCTAGCTAGCATCTACTTACTTTGCTGTAAAAAAAAAAAAAAAAAAGTATGTATGCATATGTTTTGAAGTTTCTCAAATATCTGAAAATATATTAAATATGTGTATCTTTACATATATATGTTTATTATAAATGTATACATATGTATATATAAATTTATATACATTTTAATATATATAATTATAGATGTGTATATAAAAAATTACATATACAAAGTAAATATGTGTAGAAATACACAGCTCTACATATATATATCCCTGGACTATATACATATGTAGATACATGTGTATGTAAATCTATATACATGTATTGCTATGATTATTTTTTCCAAAGAGAGTTGGTACCATCCTCTAATACCAGCGTTGTAACAAATCACAACTACTCCTCTATGAATAATGTGCAATTTTTGTGACACAATGCAAAGAATATTTTTCTCTGGCAACCACTAATAAGCATTTAAAATCTTGAGCAGAAATGGAAACCTAAATTACAGATGCCATGGCAGGCAGAACTCATCTCACAGTGGCAACATCACAAAGAAGGGTTTCTTCTAAACCCTAATTCAAAAGAGAATATAATTTTTCTGAAGTCTTAGTAAATTTCCAGAAAATCTGGCTCTTCATGCATTTAATACATTTGTTTCTTGCTGATCAGTACAGATCCAAACAACTATTGGAAATCTAACGGCATTTTGCCATTTCTATTTTGCTATTGGTACAATTTAATATGAACACTCTGTTTTACAGATCAAAATGTAATCAAACTTTCAAAGATGCTCTAGTTAATGAAATAAGAAGTTATATAAAACTGACAAACCACTAAATTTGACTTCCATAGTTCCCAAGTTATGGCTGTAGAACCTCAGAAACCTCAGCCATGAGACATGGCAACAGACCTAAAATAGTGTGAGGTTTAATCTATTAGCACCAAGGAAGCAAAAATGATAGCCTTCGGTGCCAGACACAGAAGAAAAAAAGTCTAAAGTGAGCATGATTATTTGTACAAGGCTATGTGTTGTCACTGCTTATTTTCTAATCCATCTGCATGCATTTCCTGGCGATGCAGCCACTTACCTTAGCAAAGAAGTATGGGGTCACAGAATACATTCCATTTTCCAAGTCGTGATAAAGCATTGCTCTTTCGGAATGACCTACAGGGTAGAAACAAACAGGCTGGTTTCACCTTAGGGTTGCATTTAGTAAATGTAATTTGTCATTGATTAAAGAACTTTCTGAATTTGATTTATAACGTTTACAATAAAGTTCACACTTACATTTGGCAATAACATCCAAAATCACTGTGAATGGAATTAGTGCACCTAACATGTACAGCAGTGCTGATGTGTCACGAATGGAGAGTCTGCTTTCATGTCCATAGTACAAAAATCCAATTAATAATGACATGACAAGGGCCTCAAATCCATGGACTAGTAATGTTGGAAGATCTCTGAAGTCGTTGGAGACTTGACGACTAGGAAAACAGCAACATTAATCATAAGGTATTAATGCCAGTTACATTCAGATATATTGCTCCAAATGCTCTGCTAATGTCAGTTTGTTGAACTTGCTAACTCTGAGTAGGAATTTGTCTATTTGCTTCCAAACATTATTTGAGTGAATTAAAAAATAAATAAACTTAATTAAAGCTATTGAGCACCTGTAGTGTAGCTTTTCAGGTCTGAAATGCTGAAAACTTGAAGGAATTCAGTGAGGAGGAAGATGTGGTTTTGGAGATTCGGAAGCAATTATTTCAGTAAGAGAAGTGTCTTCTTTAAGGGCCTATAATAGCAGCTGATACTAGCAGTGATGTTCTGTTTGTATTAAGCAAGTTGGCTATATTTCTTTTGAGTACAGAAGCATGAATCTCAACTATCAATGTCCATCCATCATTGCTCTAATCACTGAAGCCTCCTTGGCTTCAAATCTGAGGCAGAAGCATGAGGATAGCAATGCCTGAGCCTACCACAAGGCTGCCCAGGCTTGCTAAGTGTTGAGTCACCTTGATTTGGCATGGAGATCAGAATGGAGGTACCCAAAACTGGGATGCACATTCCTGAGCCTGGAGGCTCCTGCTGCTGCCAAAACATGCTGCAATGTGATCTGGCGATTATTTTTGTTTGGAAGGACTCCTGGGGCAGAAAAAAGGAATGCATATAGGACTGCTGCCCTACTCAGAGGATTGGGGTGATCTAGTATAGCAACACCTCTGCTCCATAGCTTGCTATTGCTGGCCAAGCACTTTCAGCATGTTCTCACTTCACATTTTGTACTTCTTAATGCTTTAAAATACAGATGGACACAATATATAATTGTTTTAGTTGGCAATAAGTTTACCTTAATAATACAGTGAACTGTTTCAAGACTCCTGGTAACTGATCACTTGAATGGTATGGCATGTTGATAACCTCTTCTGGTTTTAAATGAGAGCTGATCAAAAGAAATTAAAAGGAAATGAAACTAGCTGAGGTTGTAGCAGTTATTCCACATTTGTTGTATGGCTCTGTTTTAATTACCTTTGCTTGCTGGTAGTGGTCACAACACTGTCACTTTCACTTGCTTTCCATAAGAAATCATCAAAATCTTTGATTTTTTCTTGGAACAAGCTGGCAAGAGTATTTGCTCTTTTTAGGCTTTCCATCTCCTTTTCTCTAGTGTGTTTATCAATACTGGTCAGGTCAACTGCAAGATATTATTTGAGACGATACTGTATGCTACAGATGCGATAAATATATGATGTGTTTAGAATCAGAAATTTCATCGTGAACACACTGACCTGTGTGCATAAATTAAGATACAATGGTTAAAACTTTGTTAGTCACTTCAGGTGGATACTGAGAAAGAGTGAGAATATTAACCAAAGAGGACATAGTAGCAGCAATGGTAGTTCATTTAGCTTTTCAAAAAAATGTTGTTATTCAACAAAATATTTTTCAAAATCTAAACTAACAGTAGTATTTTCCAGTGCTAACTTTCAGTGCAGAGTGACAATACCTGATATTTTACAGATGCTCTCTGGGTGAATCTGCATATTTGTTAACTACTATCGTTGAGCTGATCTTCTCCAAACCACACTTTAGCAGAAGTGCATCAGGAAAATGACTTGCAATCTACCTTATTTAACTCCTCCCTTCTGATGTGGTCCTCCATTTCTTTTATCCACCCCACTTCTGTATTTCTGTATGTTTCTGTATTTCTGTATTTCTTTCAGGTACTCCTCCTTGCCGTGGCATCTTCTGCCATTGTGTTCTATTTCTACCTTCCGTCTGCCTGTATTCTCCACCCTTCCTATCAGTTGTGGCTCTGTGCATTGCACTCAATGATCTTCCACCTTCTTTTCTCATCCCTCCCTGCCTCCAAATTGGTAGGGAGTTTGTCTCCCAAGGACTTTGTTTTCGTATGGGAGTAGCTGCAGGACTTCCTTAAGGTTGTGCAGGACTGCTCTGAACCACATTGGTGACAAAGGTCTTTTTTTTCAGGACTTGATATTAAGATTAATTTCTGTCTTATCTGTGCACAGCTGATAAGAACTGGCTGTCACATAGGCACGTCAAAGAGGTTACTCTGATGCATGGCGGTCGTTGTCCTTGCTAACTTGAATGCAAAGACCTGAGGGCAATAATGAAAGCAGCCAAGGCAGCCTCTGTGGTAAATACTACTGCCATTAGACCAACAAGGTGAGATTCCCTTTGAATGATGCAGGAAAAAAAAAAAAGAAGAATGATATGGATTTGGACTGTGTAGTTAAATTTCTTTGAGGAGAGGAATCAAAAAGTACTGTTCTATGTTTGGTTTTATTCCTCCCTTCCAATATGCTTTGTTGAACAGCACTCCTCTTTTCCATTTACTGTTCCAGGTGCATATTATTCCTCCCCCTGAGAAACTAGCTTTCCATGTGTTTCTTGAATCAAATTCAGAGAACTATCTACAGTAGGAAATTGATCAGCTCATCCAAGTCTTTCTCAGCGAGGGTAGAAGTTTCAACAAGCTGAAACCTGGGAATAAGTGTACTAAGCTTGTGAAAGAGTTGCTACATCTGGCATGGTTAGGAGGAGGATTTTTTAAAATTGATTTTTTCTACTTATTTTTCATTCCATTTCCTGTACTGACAAATACAGATTGTATAAAAAACCTGACCTTACTACAGTATTGATTTGAGTCAGTGATAAGGCATGTCTGAAGCAGGTCAATAAAAGTCAATGTTTGCTGATACACCCACAAAAGCAAATGACTTCTAAAAACCTTTTTTTTATGACAGTACTTGATACTAACCATAGAAATCTGCAGGATTGCTGTACCTTGGGCAGGGGTAGCCGAGTTCTGTGAAGTACTGGACCATGTCTCTAGCTGTTCCAGAATAGACAGTGACTCCAGAAGTCATCAGAAGAACTAAATCAAACAGTTGGAAAATATCTGACCGAGGCTGATGAAGTGAAAGAAGAACTAATCTGTTTCCTCTGGCCAGTCTGGATAATGTTATCACAAGGTTATGTGCTGTAAAACTGTCCAGTCCAGATGTGGGTTCATCAAGTATCAGTATTCCTGCCAAAGAGAGTGAGTTTAGCTGATTTGGAAAATATGTTCTAAGTGAAAAGTTATTAGCACATGAAATCTCACAGATACATTCCTTTTAAAAATTCTAAAGTGTATTCCATACTAGAATCATGTAATATTCAATCATGACAACTTTTTTTTCCCTCTGTTCTTTTGAATATAATAGCTAAGAGTAACTTTTAAATGTTGTCTTGCTCCTATTGGAAATAATGTTTTTTATCTCCATTGGGATGAAGATTTAAGTTCTTCATTAAACTTACATTCTTTTCTGCATTTCTTGTACTTTGTACAAAAATCAAGTATGTGAATATGCAGTAGTAATAGTTTTATATTCTAACTGCTGAAAAATTTAGATCTTACATTTATTACATTATCTGTGTAAATTCTCAGATTATTACTTTACATTGCTTCTCCTTACAACCTGTGGTCTATTTCATACCTGTTCACATCCACAAATGAAGACTAATGCATATGCTTAAATTTTTTGTTGTTGCTGTTGTTTTGCAAATGATTGCTAAAAACTTGCAAGGATTTTATTGCTTTGCAATGTTTATGTTGTTAAGGAACGTAATGACAATGTCTGTATAAAGACATTTTCTGTGATGAGGGAGATGACTTATGCTTGAAATGTAAAAAAGTCTTTACTTGAACTAATCTTTTTTTACTTTTTTTACTTGAGTGCCAGCACATATATTCTTAAATCTCTTTAAAAAAAAAAAAGGCTTCTGCTTTCATGGTAATAGCAGAAGTTTAACTCCATATAAACTAGAACTTTTCAGATCCATTTCCAAGTATTTCCAAGTGGAGGTAGAAGAGATGAAAAGAAATGTCAGGCAACAAGAGGCTCAGCCAAGATTATTAGTGCTGTTGTGTTGTTGTTATATACAAGGGCAAGTCGGGAATTCACTCCTGCAAGATCACTTGCAGATTTGGCCTCATCTTTTGCTTCTACTGAAGAGGATGGGCATTTTCTATTGGCATAAGCCAGCCATGTCAGAGTTGCACAAGAGCGCAATGTCTTCCTGTGCTGCCAAGAGAAGGACCTTCACTGTTAATATTGTACTTGTGAATAGGTCAGGTTGAAAGAAAGAAAAGCAATCCAAGGTTTATAAGAGATAACCAAGCCTCCAAAGTAAATTGTGGCATACAGTCAGGAAAAGACAAACCTCATGCAGATTTGCACAAACTGGAACACTGCTGTGAGGGTGACTTCTGGCAATATTCAGTAGTTTGATTGATGGTGAGTGGAGGCTTCCAGAGGGGATTCTGCCTGGCTCTGTCACTGCTGTTCCATTGGCAAAGCTGGCAGAAGGGCTGCTAAATATCCCTCCAGGACTCCTCCAGGGAGTCCTCCCTGCAAACTTATGTATGACTTTCCCCTGCATTCTCTTGTGTTCTCTAACTAATTCCCCCAGGGGTTTGTGGTGAGCACAAGGAAGTTGTCTGGGTTTTGCTCACCTGGGTTCCAGAGCAGCTGTACACCGATGCTCACCCTCCTCCTCTCGCCTCCTGAAATGCCACGGAGGTACTCATTCCCTACCCTCGTGTTTGCACACTGCCGCAACCGTAGCTCTGCTATTACATCTTCCACCTGGGGGAATAAAAATGAAACCGTGTACAGAAAAAGCTGAAAATAGTTAAAATTCATCCGGATATTATGGTGCTGTCTGATCAAGAGCCACTCGAAAACAAATCTTGGTTTTAGAGATATCATTAAAAATTGCTCAGCGATAAGCAACTTATCTCTTCTTTCAGCCTCCCTGATGCTTTCTCTAGATCATTATTTTTTATGCACTTTGGGACAATTGCTGGTTTCTATCTTGAAAATAAGAAAAAGGTTTATAACTCATAATTTAAATTTTAAAAGTACCAGAATAGCTGTTCTGTCTCCAAATACACTGAATCTATTGGGTAACTTCTGTCAGATGTGTTTTTGATAACTCTGTTTTTCCCGACAGCTCAATTACCCTTTTTTGCCTTTGTGAGTCCGAAAAACATTCCGGAAGGCGCAGCTTGGCAATGAACAATAGCGTTTCTCTGACAGTCAGGTGGGGGAGCAATCGATCATCCTGCCTCACGTGTGCAATGCATTTCTTGACAAGCTGGGGAGTGCTGGGTTTGTTGTTGATCATGATTTGACCAGACTTGATTTTGCCCCCATGATCCCGGCAGGTTATCACATCAAGCAAGGATGTCTTTCCGCCAGCTAGAACAATCAAAATTGGAAAATAAGTACATTTCTAGAACATTAATTTGAAAACTGATTTATTTATATACAGAAGTTTTCGTTCCCTAACTTCTTTTCCTAAACCCTCACTTTTGCTTTTCTAAAGCAACAAATACAGAATGGTCTTGAAAGAGAATACCGACACAGGACTGCAAGCTCATGCTCAGAAGATCTGTCCCCTCCAGAACAGAGGACACAACTTCAATCTTTGTCATGTCTCAGGAGAATTGGGTGGATGGGCTTTGAGGACAGCTCTTTGAATGTGAGAAGCAAGATCTCTCCTTGTCCCCCCAGTCACCTTTCTTTTACCCTTTGGAGAGATAGCAGAAAGGTGGAATCCTGGCCTGGCTGCAGGGCTGTCACCTAAACACTCTGCATGATCTTAGTTATTGAAAGGAGCTGTGGATTCAGAAATGGCAGCTGTAACATCTGAAAGACTAAGGCATCGAATGATTATACTGACAATAAAAATCTTAATCATGATCAAATAGAAATTACTATTATTTGAATAAGACAAAAAGTCATTTAAATAATTAAGAAAAGCTGGCTTATGTTCAGAGATAAGAAAATGAAAACAATGTAATCAAAATATTATTTGGAATTAAATAGCAAATGACTTTTTCCCTTATGCTGTATGATACTTGAGGTAAACACAGAGCTCTCTCATTATGATTAGATGTCATTTATTTCCAGATTTCCTGTTAAAAGATTAACTCCACACTTGTTTTCTAATGTGTACACTTTGAAAAGGAAATCCATCCATCTGTGAAGTATGTATTGCTCAATTTAAGAGTGACATATTGATTGCCATTGACATTGTGAAACTCATCAGCAGTTTAACCCATTTTACTAAGGCATTTGAAAAAATAGATGATAAACAGCTTTTACAAATAGTTTGACTAGTCTGCTAAAAAGGGTATGTGTTCAGTGCATGTTACCTTTTAACAGTGGTGTATCTATATCGCAGTATGTTATTTCATCATAAGCTTTTTTCATTTATTATGGGGAATCTCTAACGTACAACTTCATTTTCATTACAGGTATGTGCTCAGAAAAATTCCACATGACCATGGGGGAAAAAAAACAGAGACCTGTTTTTAAGACACTGTAAGTCAAACAGAAGAGGAATTATCTTCTTAAATTTTACATTAATTGATCTGAAGGTGGTAGTTTATCCTCAAAGGGTTGTTTGCATGCGAAGGGAATTGCTATTTGTGGCTATGCTCTACCAGTTGCCACTGATCTCTGTAGGATCTGGCTTCGTATCTGCTATGTTACTGGGTGAGCTCTGCAATCTACATTTGTTTATTTTTCATGAGAGCCGTGAAGCTGCTTCACGTGCAACAGAGGTGAGAGTGCAAACCACAGCGGCAGCAGGGAACAAAGAGCAAATATACAAGTCATAGGAAAAATTGGTTTTGAAAACAAATTCATAGTACATGTTTCTCCAGTATGATTCTTTGTTTTCTCACACTTAACTTTTTAATGATGTATTTAAGTGATACATTTCTATTAGTTGTTTCTCAGCTAGATTTTGCCATTCAAAGGACTGACGAGTATTGTTTTCAATTGTCTATGCTTTATCCAAGGGTTGATCAAATCATGAAACATGGTTGCTCTTACCAGTGCTTCCTATAATAGCTAGCATCTGACCACTGTGAACCTTTAAATTCAAGTTCTGGATTATTGTCACGTGAGAATCAGGACCTGAGTTCCAGGGCAATAGCAATTGCATCTGCGTGAGTTTCTCATACCACGGAATCTGGGATGCCAGGTTAACCTAACAAAGAATAAAAGCAAACAATAAACTACTTCACGGTAAGTGCTTTCAAATCCGTTACAAAGCAGAGAATTAGTTAAAATAATATTCCTAATATTCAGAAATACAGAAAAAAAATTCTCTTTGAGGCGTGTATGTTTTTCATCCTTTGCTCCTTATTTCTGTTAATCGCCAAAATTATCTGTCCTGTAATGTATTGCTATTGGACATTATTAATTTTTAATACAATTTAAAATTACTCAAAACTGGAAATTATGAAGCCTACTTCAGATGCCCCATGGCACAGAGAGAGGCAACAAATTTCACTAGTTTTCTGAAATCCTCCTTATATTTGTTATCCATGTCATCCTGCCACATCTCCTGCATACACATTCTTGCCAGCAAAGGCTCCTGCTATTTCTGGCTGGATGGAAAATCGCTCCACTTCCATCCTCCAAGGAGTAATTTAGCTTAAGACAGAGAAAATGGCCTATAAACTGACCTCTTCTCCTGTGCCATCCTCTAGCTTTACTAGATATGTTTACAGTGGAGCATGTAGCCAATGCTACAACCAAGAGCATGATCCTTCTTACAAAACTTCTGTATATTTCACTGTGCAACATTTATATGAACTTGAACTTTATTCTACTTCTAAAATAGCTTACAAAATGAAAGAAGAACTGCTGGATATGTTCCCTGCTCAAGGGAATTGCATAAAGTAGGGTGTTTACCTGGTAGTTGAGTTCTTTGACCTCAAGAACATTTGATTTTCCGCTGTATGTGAAATACAGGCTGTTATCTTCTTCAGAACAAAAAATACTGTCCTGGGCCTTGATGTGGAGAAAGCACTAGCTTAGTTACAACAGTTAATTGCAATACCTAAAGAGCTATTAAAATTTGATTACAGAGAAAAAAGAAATAGAGAAATAGAAATGGAAATATGTGCAATGGGATATACCAGTTTTGTTAAGTTTCCGTAGTACAAAAGTGCAAAGGGTTGAAATGTTACCTGTTAGCCAGCATGAAATGCAGTTTGTTCTAAAGATATGTCAGAGGGCCAGGTATGCTATGCTGTGCTCATCTTTCAGTTGAAATGAGTCTATTTCTGAAATGGAGCTTAAATCCTATGCCACCATAAGGAGATGAATCTAATCTATTCTATTCTATTTTTATTACTATAGAAGAAATGGGTGACTGTTGGAGTGTTAATGTCTACTGGATCAAAATGGTATGTATTGAAATTGGTACTTTATGGCAGCTAAAAATCACACGAGCATGCTCGTTATTTAATTCATCCATACTGTACCATAGTAACCTGAATCAGTTAATTCACCACTGCACACATACAGAAGATAATTTGCTGATGTCTATGCTTATAAAGAGCAAATGGTAGCTGCAAACAGTGAATGCTCAGTAAGAAAATGTTAATCATAATCAGACAGGGTATTAATTTAACCAACCAAAATATCCAGATACCCACCATCTCTGCTGAAGAAATGTCTTGTAAAATAATGGAGCAATGGCACGTTATCCTAAGTCAGCATTCAGAGATCATCCTAACCCCTGTGTCTTTTGTCATAACAGGGGCTAAGGCTCTTCCAGGGATTTATAGTTTGAGTTCTCATTTCACCCAAGTCATGTAACTTTCAGCTTCAGCTGAGGGCTGCTGGAAGAGCTCCATTCCCCTGTTTCCTGTCTAGGTACGCACTGGAAAGCAGCATGATACTAAATTGTCTGAAAAGCAACACTAAGACCTTGCCAGCTTTCTCTGCAGTCCTTGGAGGAAGCCTGGGCACTGGGCATTGCCTCCCAGCAGCCCGCAGCCAGCCCTCTCGCAGCTCTCACTCACCGATGAGCTCGTGCATGTGTCCTGGTTCCAGTTGGCACCTTCCAGAGAGATGTTCTCAGGGGCTTTCTTCATCTTGGCCTCACAGGACCTTGCTCCCTGTGCTGCTTCGGTGATGGGCTCCTGCAGAGTCGTGGGGAACCTTCTCTCCTTGCTTCTGAGCTTTCCAAGCACCTTCAGAGCAGTGCCCTGGTGTCTCTGCAGCAGGTGTGACCTTGTGGACTGGGAAATACTCCCCTCCTCCCAGACACTGACAACTAGGGGTAAAGGTACATCAGATAGGCGATTAGCTGAAGCTGCTATCAGTTGCTCTCTGAAAAAGAAAGTGCAGAGAGACAGTCTGTTTTCTTGTAGGCACTTCCCAGGGTGGCGGGTGCTGGGGGCAGTGAGTTGCTCCATTCTAGGAGGAGCGAGAGCTGCCCCCATCCCAGCTGAGGCATGGCGGCAGTGGCAGGCATCTGGCTGGTGGCGTGAGGGCAGCAGCCCGTGGGGCTCTGGTGCCGGAGGATGTCGGGCAGAGGGTCTCCTGCTCTGGAGAGGAGTGGCAGCAGTGGGCAGGCAGGCGAGACAGAGGCCGCGGCACAGCCCCCCAACTGCATCAGTGTGCAGGGGGTCTCCTACAGTGTCAGGTAGGACGAGGGATCCTGGAGCCGAGGTGAGCCCCTCCCTGCTGAGAGCTTCCCCGACCCCGGGAAAGGAGGGGAGAGGGCTGGGACAGGTGGGCTGTGGGCTTGGCCTTGGGCTGGTGAAGAACGAGAGCTGTGGAAGGGCTGCCCGCCTCGTGGTGGGGCATGTAGTGGAGATTTCTGAAGTTCTGTGTATGTGTGTCATGCAAAACTTTTTACTTCATCAATGTTTCTTCCTTTCTGATATTTGTTTTCCAAGAGAGAGTGTTGGCCCCTGGTGGAAAGTTCCTTTATACCATACAAAATGGACTCGGCAAATACTTAAAGATGTTTCATTTCATGTAGAGAGTGGCCAGATTATGGGGATTTTAGGAAACTCTGGTAAGTTGTTCCTCTATGTTCAAAGAAATAAAATCAGAGTTATTACGGGTGACTTCCACAGTAGTCTGAACATGACTGAGGTCTGTGCTTTAAATAATGAAATTGCAGCTGTGTTAACCCCTGCTTTGTGAAAACGTGACACTTGGTTTCCAGAGTTCTATCTTCTGCCATCTAACTAGCAATTACAACTTCAATAAAAGATAAGGTTACCTCCAAATGCACATGTTTCACGATAAAGTGTGAATGTGGGAAATAAATGCTAATCACACTTATTCTAGTTTCCCAATTGCTTTCCTATTACTGTCATGTTAAGACTTTGTTTAATGCTTTCTTATTTTCACATGTCTCCATCCAAGTGATGTCGTTGCTCTTGAGATTGAATGTCTTGCAAAATTCATCTCATCATGTGGTTGATTTGTTTTCTTTGAAAGGATCTGGGAAAACAACACTCCTGGATGCAATATCAGGAAGACTGAAAGATAAGGACAATTTTTTTGGTGAAGTGTATGTGAATGGGCATCACTTGAAGAAGGAACATTTTAGAGATTGCTTCTCTTATGTGCCACAGGTTAATCTCCACATTTGTTTGTGTGTACTGTGATTCCTCTTCTGTTAAAAAAAATACAAACAAACAAACAAACAAACAAAAAAGGTATTTGCTACTGTAAGGGTACAGTGTATTCCCACCGCAGTTTCACTAGTAGTTTTGATACAAAGCAGTCAATAAATTGCATGAATGAATTGAGAGACTGTGAGTAAAAGCAGTATCTTAATTACTACTGGACTAACTGCTGCTTGTTCTTCACCTTTTTCTTAGAATGATGCTTTGCTAAGCTTCCTCACCATAGAAGAGTCTCTGACCTACACAGCTTTACTTGCTCTTCAGAAGTGCTCCAACAACTTCATCAAGAAGAAGGTCTGTGTATTATCATCTTCTGCTAGGAATGCAGACATGACATCATGAAATGCTTTTACTGGCAGCACTTTTCATCCATGGCTGTGGTTTATATTTATGCAGTTTCATAATCCTTATTCTGCAGCTGGAGAGATACCCTTCTGCTGAGCAATGAGCAGGATAGACTCCCTAATGCTCACCACCTCTGCAGGGAGCTTGTGCCTATTTCCCAGCAAATATCTTGGAACAAAACTTTGGCTCAAAGCTGCAGCAATTACTGCTGCAGTAGATGTTATTGGCACGGAGTTCAGCTCCCATTGGCCAACTGGGAAACCCAGCTCACTGTAATGCTTAAGGCTGTGTATGCTGGGCAGTCTCTCGAACAGCGGAGCTGACACTAAAACTACTCTGGCTTCTTGGGGAGCTCTCTTGCTATGCAGAGCAGCCCTGAAATGCACCATTCTACTGAGCTGCTTGCAAGCTGCCTTTTCGATAAAATATGCATGTTTCTCATCTACTAGAGGGTGCTTTTTGTCCTCAGCTCAGAAGTTCCTAATCAAAGGTTCTTGACCTCTTCTTTTTTCACCCATTTTCCACTCAGTATTTTGTACTTCTCCAGAATTGATTTGCCTTTCTGCTCCCTTATTTTGGAAGCCATACTAGCACGTTATTCTTAATGTCTAGCCTCTGACCTCATCTCTTAATGTCATGCAAAGCTAAAATTCTACTCATTTTAGAATATGTAGAAATGAAAAAATATTTGTAAAAGTAATTAGAATACTGCATAAAAAATAATGTAATAAAAATCAGGTCCAAATCCTTCCAATTACAATGGGTGCAAGCAACACTCTGGGAAAGTCTTAGCTTAAAATTATGCCTTTTTTTTTTTCCCTTCAGTTTTTGTTTTTCTGAGTATCTGAGTTGGTATCTGAGTTGAACACTGGTCTTTCTAATTTGGAATTATTTTTCAGGTCGATGCTGTTATGGCTGAGTTGAGTCTTAGCCACATTGCCAACAAAATAATTGGAAGCCAAATATATGTAGGAATTTCTGGAGGTGAGAGGCGTCGTGTCTCAATTGCAGCTCAGCTATTACAAGATCCCAGTAAGTACCACAAAGAGGATTTTGAACATAAAGTAGAGCAGTGCTACTTTGTGCTTCTGCCATGGATTTCCTTAGCCCACTTTAAAATACAAATACATTTTTTAATCTGTAATTCATTAAAAGCTAGCCTAGTAATGATGGAGATGGATAAGCCATAATTCAGGTTTGTCATTAACCTATTATTGGTCTTGGAAAGGAATGAAATCTAAAATCTTAAGGACTGAATATGCATCTAGACTCTTTTACCTCTTTCTGGGCTTGCCCTTCCCACATGTGCAATGTTAGTTGTGACATATTTATTTGTGGCTTATGGAACCAATTAGAGCCCTACGTATCCAAGCACTGAGTCTTGCAGTGGAGCAGCTGACATTGGGCCATCTATGTGTGTACTCGATGGGGTCAAAAAGGCAGTCTGCACATGAACTTTGCTCACTTGGAAAAGAAAGAAACAAAAGAGAGTCAATTGTTCAGGAGTATAACAGCTCTCATGTGGTCTTTTCCTTGATAAGAAGCCAGATGTTGATACACACCGTGCTTCCATGTGTCTTAATTTTAGTGTAAAGAAAAAAAGTCTAGTGAATGAAAATTGAAGCTGAGTAACAGAGAATTAAGCTCATAATGTAGTAATTCTGTGTGGATAAACCTAAAGAGAAAAATCTTCTTTCCTATATTTAAACCCTAGGATTGAACTGCCTTTTCTGTGCTATATATCACCTACGTGAAACTAAATGATTTGACTGTAATTTTTACCCTTCCATATGCAATAAAGCTGTGAAGAAAATGCAATTTAAAAACTGCTTTCATTTATAGAATTATACATCCCATATTCTCATGAAACTCTCGATTGGTTCATAATTAATTTCATTATCTGTATATTTAATTCAGATCATAAGTTCTAGCTAAATATTTCAGCCATATTCACATTTGTATACATTTTGAATTTTACCACAATTCTCAGAAGGAGGTGTACATTAGACCTATTTTGCTAATTTATGGATTTCACTTGAACTTAGAAAAAAATCATTATGTTCTTATTTGTTGTGTAGTTCTGTATGTTCTTATTCCCAGTAGCTGAACCTGAGCCATTGAAGCTAAATAAAGATTAAATACCAAGCCTCAGTAATGAATGTGCATGCTCTGTGTTACACACAGGACTTCACATGTACAGTAATTTCTATAGCGTTTTTCAAGTTTGCTTCAAATGCAGAAGTCATAACATTTGCTCTCAATTTACCTGAGTTTTAATATTATTTCTTACCATTAAACAGAGGTCATGCTGCTTGATGAACCAACAACAGGGCTGGATTGCCTGACTGCAAACCAGATCGTCTCACTGCTTGTGGAACTTGCACACAATGACAGGATTGTGATTATCACCATTCATCAGCCTCGCTCAGAACTCTTCAGGGTAAAGGATATCTACTCAGCATTTGATTTTTTTAGCATCCTTTTTAGTATTTAAGTTCTTTTGAGAATAAAAGGGCAATATCAAGTATAGGTGTGTTAAAATTCTCTATAACATTACCCCGTGTAAACATAGGCTTGTCTTTAACTTTACAGATCTGGCCTTCTGCCACTTGCAGTGCGTATTAGGATACACACTGCTCTGGGCCACTAAATCTGACACAGTGTGCATAACCTTTGTGTTATGCTGCTATCCAAATCAAAACACTGGGAGAAGCCATTTAAATTCCCCATGTGTGCTGGCACTGTGAAAACTAGCATTTTATTTATTGTTACAAATGCTTGCAAATCAGGATGAAGCCATGATTTGGAATACAAGTGGAAAAAAAGCTTTTATTTCAAGTTTTCTAGCTTCACATAGTTTGTGTGGCATGGTCTTCCTTCCCAAGACTGTTCTGAATTTGCACCACTCCATGAACGCAAGGCACTTCTCTGGCTGAATAAATTTAGTGTGAGTGATCACAAAGCAATTGCGAGTGATGGTGCTCTTCTGGACTGGAATTGGTCCTGGTGCTTGCTGAGCACAGCTATTGGGAGCCCTGTGCTATCAAATGTATACCCAAAGAGCAGTGCTCTTAAAGTCCTTAATGCTTCAGGATAGTTTTCCCAATAGTATGGGAATTTTGCAGACTGAGATTATTAAGCACCAAAGGAGGCAAGTCAGTAAGTGAAGGTACATTAGAAGTGAAGTCAGAAGTCCTCAGATCTTATTTCTGTTCTTGGATTAGCTCTGTACACTGCTGGCTCCAATAACACTGAGAAGCACTAAGAGCTTACAAGAGCTAAGAGCTCTTACTAAGAGCTTTTAAGAGCTTACAAATGTGTCATCTTGCATAACCATAGAGAGGAGTGATAGAAAGGACAAACTTCCTTTGACAGAAATATACTAAGGAAGTTTGAATGTGTCAAATCTGTTTTTCCCCTCAAAGCATTTTTATTACCAA